AGATTGTGAACAGTGCTGGCAGGAGAGATGAAAGGACTTCCTCTGTCGGCCTGTACCCATGGGCATCTTGGTAGGGCCCTCTGCCCAGTGTGCCCATGCGGTAAGACGGCCCTGATCCCTACACAGAATCTACCCATCCACTCTACCACATCATTCCCCACATTTAGTCACATTGTCACATTGACACCAACACATTCACTAGTCACCCTGTCACAGTCACATCGCTACAGTCACCCTGTCACACTCACTCTATCTTAGTCACCCTGCCACAATCACCCTCATAAACACACACAGCAGTCACTCTCATACACAGGCACCACCACAGACAGTAACACTCATACACACAGTCACCCCTCACACACACACAACACAGCCACACCATAAAAACACAACAAGCATATCAAGACCAACAGCAGCACCCTCATACACACAACACACCATCAGCAACTCACCAACACACAAACGCTCCCAGACACAGAAACACACTGAATCCCAGACACAGACATACACAAACACACAAAGAAAAAGATATGCATCCTAGGGACAGCCAGAAATACACATATACTTTGTGTGTCTAAAGTGTCAACATGACTGCCATGAGGGTGATGTGGTTTGGGAAAAATCATGATAATGTGTTACATGTACAATATACATGGGACTATATATATATACAGTTGTAATCAAAATTATTCAACCCCCAATGTAAATCATGTTTTGATGAACAAATCAAACAAGAGCACTTGAAATAGCTCAACATAACGAATGGGTCAAGTTATTTATAGACTAGAATAGGTGAGGAAAAAAGTCACAGGGACCTCATTCTAGGGTCTTATTTTATCTTGCATTGCGGAGAACTCCGGGAGGAAGGGTTTCCCAAGAAAGTGAGTTAACCTCATAAGAGCATGCATTAGGTTGCTAGAGTAGGACCTGCCAAGAATGGGGTACATGGACGTTGTGGCAGGCGTATGCAATGTATGATCATATAATGTAACTAAACCCCCATTATTTGCCTAGGTTAGCTTTTTATAAAATAAACAATTACATTCTCTGAGCTGTGAATTTGCTGTTTAACGAATGAGCGCGTGCGCTGGATCTTGTACGTTGTATGAATTTGCCCCAGCAGCACCCTTATAATGTATGCATGTTCAGGGGAGCGCAGCCCTCTTGGTTTCATATGTAAATATATTTGGTAGTCCATTGTTTCTACTAAATAATGTGCTATCTAGTTATAAGAAAATGAAAGGTACATGTAAACATTACTTTTTAGAACACTCAAAGTACTCCGATTGGATTTGACTTTTCTGCCCACATCTTCTGCAACTTTTACTGGTCTTTCTAAGTTGCCACAGTCCTTATAGGGTTTTTATTATTTTCCCTCATAATGCATTAAATGAACTGCATTACTTTTTACACAGATGCAAAATTACCAGCATATACATTGGAGATATCTAATAAATACATGTGTCAGTTTTCATCCTGTCAAAGTTCTGGCATTCCCGTACACTACAATAGAATTACCTCCTAATCCTTGTATAAACACTCTTCTGCTGAAACGTAATTTAAGGCAGGTGTGTTTAAAATCTTTAGACATTTTCTCCAAGCAGTGTTTGTCAATGGACAAATTCTCAGCTTCCAGACACTTATCATGGTGCATTTTGTCCTTTACATTTTACCTAACACTTTAAGTTAACTACAGTGTCTGGCCAAGACGTTTGTACAAAGAGCCCTCTGTCAAACTTTCTAAGCAATTATTTTCTTCGAAACCCTTTAAGATTTATTTACTAATCATTGAGTTGGGGTGTGTTAACAACTGAATTTTCACATAGGTAAGTTGGAAGAAAATCAGCTCACTGTTTGATGAGTAATGTCCAATGCCATATCATGCCTTATACACTAATAGTCATACAACACACTTGAGTCTGTCAGCAAACTTCTGTACTGTGATAGAATATGTATTGTGCATTAAGAGTTGGACATCATGGTCGTGGTAGTTTGGCCAGGGATTGTATAAAGAATATGTTTGATCTCCCTAGATTGTACTAGAGCATGATTGTATAACTCAGTGCTACGCATGAAAGACTAAGCCTCATCTGCTGAGAACTGAACCTGTAACCCCGAGGTTTGATCAGATGGTGTCTTAAAGTGAAACTGTTGTGAAAAAATCATCTTACTTGAAATTGCTGCCAAATACATTGAATGCAACATATATCACACAGATACATGTTGTAACAAATGTAAAATATAGAGATTTACTCACCTCCAGTACTGCCATCTTCAAACTTTGTGGGTGTGACTCTTCATGTGTCAAAACTGCTAGCCCAATGTGTAGATAGAATGCTCTGCTCAATCTAATGAGTGTAAGTTGTTTGTGGCATGACACAAGCCATTTAACTAACATGACAACATATAATTATTTCATTTGTGACCTCAAAATTCGCTAAACAAACAGCTACAAATAAAGGAATGAATACAGATACTGCACCTCAAGAATACAAATTCTGCTGCTATGCTTACTTCCTTTACTGTAAAAAACATTTAAACAAATAGCTTTCTACATTCCTGGAGTTTTGTTAGCATAAAAGCCAAATGGAGAACTCACCTGCCCTTGTTGCAGTCATGTGACATATAAAGCCATCATCGTAGTGACGACAGAGGTCAAATTAGGCTGGAGAGGTCAAGAGGATGACCTATTCAGCGTACCGTGAACTTTCTATATTGTTTTTAATTTTCACATGGACATGGTTTAAGGGATCTCATCTTCGGGAGATTTTAATGCTGAGCAACTGTTGTGGGATTGGTTGGGAAGGTGAGACTGTATCTCCTGATGTTCTTGATATGCCTTTCTTAATCATATTTTGTATGAGGGTTTTAATAAACTCACTTATTAATTTTCATGGCATCACACTGTTGTGGCCATATATAATTATATCGCCTTTGACAGGCTGGCAATATCTGGCTCCATAAGAAGTTATGTCAAATGAAGAGATGTGCCCCAGTTACCAGAGATGGCTGGTGATATGCTTTGAACTTATTTTTTTAATAGAATGGATTTAGTGTCCTTTTCACATCATTTTTATAGCACTGTGATATCTATGCTTTCTTTTTGTGGTGTTGTATTTAATATTATTTTAAAGCCCTTTAAGGGATCTGGAGGAGTCCTTTTGAACATATGCACTATAGGAGAAGGGCAAATTTATCCCTCCTTTGGGTGTACTATATGTATTGTGGGTTTTTGGCTTTAAAGGTTCTACACTTGTTTTTCTGTTTTGAGGTGCCATCCACTATTCAACTCTCTTTTAAAATTAGGGAAGAAACCAAAAAGAAACCAAAAAGAAATTAGGCTTGTACACAACTCTATCATTAGTGACACTTTGGCGGAACCTACTGCCAATTTCGTCAGTTTTACCCCATTTAGTCTGTTTTGCCTTTTTCCCGTTTGGGAGTTATTGTATACAAACCTCCTCCAATTGTCTCCCGAACGAGGACCACCCCCGTACCCTATTAGAGCGTTCACACCAGCAACTTAAGTGTGAAACCGCAAGGGAAGAAATTAATGAATGCTTCCCCTGGGTGGTCTCCATTTTGTATAACTGAATGCACGTGGTCAAAAGAATGGTGGCCATTTTGTGTCCCAAACGCGGGCAGCGGCACTTGGTCGTCGAGTGCCTGGAACTCCTTTCGGCTATGCACTAGCATGAACCCCGTTAAAGATTAGACAGCTGCCCGTTCCACTTCCCTACCAACTATGTGAACGACGTTCAGGAGATGGGAACTACTGAACAGGGGGAGCATTCGTACCCTAAAATTAAAAGAATCCCTTGCATGGTGTTCACACAGGAACCCCTGAACAGAGACAGGCCGGGACACCTATTTCCATGGAACTGTTTTGGGCTAGCACCCCTTGTACGGGCGGTCAAAACTTTACCCTGGTTGCATTCCAGTTTCACCAAACCGATCTGAGTAATATTTGGATATGTTTTACACTTAGATCATGGCTATCCAGGGATATAACTTTTGTGGGGTTTCTAGTTATGGTGGGGGTACATATATTTTGTGTAGGTTTTTGTACCTGAGATATAATTGAATTATAGCTTTTTCCTACGCACTTATCTCACAGGCACAAAGGATCCTGGGAATGAACCCTGTTTTATTGTGTTGGAGACCCCATGTGGGGGTCTGTGCATAAAAGCCATGTGTGGTATGAAATAAATCAGTTGATTCCCAGAACTATGTTTCATCTGGTTACTAGGGAAATGGATGTCTGTTTGTTTTAATGGTTCCAGATTGACTGAGAGAAGGAATTAGCGGAGGTAACCAGTCGGGTTCCCTGTGGTCTGTTACAGATACATTTAGCGACCACTCACAACAGCATTCTCCTTTTTTAGTATGGGGGCATGGAAGAAACTGTCCTTCTTCTTTCCTAAAAATTACATCTTAAACTGCATACAATTGTGAATAATGCAGGAGAAATACCTCATCTCACTGGAATTAGCTAGCTGCAGTTACATAGAAACATAGAATGTGATGGCAGATAAGAACCATTTGGCCCATCTAGTCTGCCCAATTTTCGAAATACTTTCATTAGTCCCTGGCCTTATCTATAGCTAGAATAGCCTTAAGCCTATCCCACGCATGCTTAAACTCCTTCACTGTGTTAACCTCTACCACTTCAGCTGGAAGGCTATTCAATGCATCCACTACCCTCTTAGTAACATAATACTTCCTGATATAATTTTTAAACCTTTGCCCCTCTTAGTTTGCTTTACAATTGTATTTATATGGAAAAGAAGAGATGTATTGTCTATGTTTGTCAAAATTACAAATGCCAATATTGGAACACGTTTGCGTATCAGAGATAGTTAATCATCAATTGCTCTCAATATAGTAAACATTTGTATCTGTAGATCCCTTTGGACCTATATATACATTCATGGAAGTTTGTGAGGAAGAATACATGAAGAAGGAAGAATGGTCCTAAGCATTTAAAAAAAAACATTCAAAAGAGCTACATACTATACCTCGCACATATAGCTGTATACGGAAATACCATTAATGTGGTTCTGAGTCTTCTAGCCTTCCCAACAGGTGGTGGGAGGAAGGGTCACCTGAAGGCTGACCGATGGTTGGTGACACGGAAGAAGGGAGAGCCGTTGGTAGAGACAACTGTCCTGAATGATAGTCTGACCTTTTTCTCCACTACTTGTCTATGCATAGGTTGTCCCATCATGACACTGATGACTGATGGAGAATCTCTCCATACTACGGGGGCACTAGCTGAGTGCAACTGAAAAAGTTGATGGTGCAAGGCGAGGTGGGCTGGAAAAAAAAAATTCCCTAAATTTCTCTAATTGAACTAATGGTTCTAAGCTCTCCCTGGTGCAGAAATATATTTGTCAGTGAAAAACATGTAACATTTCATATGGCGTCTCACCATTTGTATCATCAGGTATTTTGTGAATGCTCATCTGTACCATAGGAATAAATAGATACCACTGTGTGGGGCAAGCAACTAGTAACTTGGTTAATAATCATTTAACCTCAGCATTCTCCCAGACCACAACCCCACTTCTTTGGGGGTGGTTGGGGCACTGAAATCCCAAAGTAACCCAAATGTGGTTGCCCAGTTTTAGGTTTCCTTTGCAGTAACTGCAGGACCACCATCCAAATGGATGGTCCTGGGATTATCAAATGCATACTAAGGAAGTGAGACTAGAAAACGTGGCATCAGAGGTTGCACTTCGCACAGGATATATCCAAGTAAACCTGGTACATGCATCAACACATGCAAAAATATATTTATAACCATGAGATGTTGGCAAACTTCCAATATATAGTAATTCAAAAAGTACGTTAGATGTTAATATTTCAATAAACAGTACATAAGTAATGTGGCAATAAGCAAATGCTTATGATTACTAAACACATGAATTACAGTATTTCCCTTATTGGACCACCAATATTCCTTTTCAGGAGTCAGAAGTACATTATCTCTCTCTATAAGAGCTTGTCCTAGCCATGAAAAAGCTTTTAGGGCAAGTCCATCTTTCCTCTATAGGAAGAACAACCAACATATTACCTTCAATGGTTATTATGTAATTAACCCCTCTAAACGATAGGAGTATTTATGCGGATACCAGGTGGATAAGGTCTGGATATCCTTGCAAGCATAAACTCTGCATCATGACTGAGAGATAGGGTATGCGATGTGATCCAGTGACCACAGAAAAGCGTTGGTAGACACATTGCATCAAAGTGCCTGTTAATGACCAACTACATGAGGAGAGGGACCATGCTTTGTTATAAGCATGTCCATACACGTATTACAATGCCAGGCTTTCAATTTGTTTCCACAAAGCAAAATGCAGTTGTGGATATAAACTCACGACGTATCGTAAGAAAAACTGTTTGAACACCAGACTGAGATTCGAGATCCGTGAACAGTGAACCAAAATAGATAAATGAAATCCTATCAATTAATATACTTTCTTTATATTACTTTATCCTCTGTATTAACTATTAAATATTAAAGTTAAAACAATAACATTTAAAAGCCAACTTTTAGTCTGGATAGGAATTACAAGGCCGTTCATAATGTGAGATAAAGAACAGCTTTTTAAAATCCGAATAGTCTGTGAACACAAGATGACCTTGCGCTGAAAACTCACTTGCAGGGGAAAAACAAAACCTTTTTTTCTTTTTCTTTAGTAAGTTAATTAATTAAACGTAGTTAGAACCTCCCTCAAAGTCCCGAGTACTTTGCAAGAAACATGTCGTCCTTAAATACTGGGTAAGTCTGTTAAACAGTGAAATAGCATTTTTACACTGTATTTCATGTTGTCACAGTTATAATGTGCAGTATAACAAACTATTTATAAGTGTTGTGCAAACTGTTCATTAAAAGCCAGTGATCTAGCGAGCTATAGAACATTTATTTTTTAAATCTCTGACCTCAATCGGCAAAGCAATATTGTAATGGTGTCCATTGCAATCTGCTGTCTTACTTGCTGCTCTTAAAAATTCTGAATATGTTCGGAGATTTCTTGGGCAATGATAAATCCCCCAAAACAACAACTTTGCATTTATGGTAAACCTGCCTGCTGTAAACGTATTCTGTATATTTCTTGACATAAGTACTTGTACTTAAATCTGTTTAACAAAGCTGTTTATATTGTGGTGTAAAATAAATGTTTTATTATTATTATTTATTTTATTTATTTATTTTTTTAACTTTGCTTAATTTTTAAAGATACCTGCATATTTAATTAAATATCCTTTATATGTCTTTAAGGCATAAAATATCTGCAAATTAAGATTATATACAAAAATGCATGTTCTGGGTATTCCAGTGATTCCTTTTCTATCATTTATTTATTTATTTTAAAAAATTTAAGTCTGGAATCTGATTCCTTTTGGGATGAGCACCCCTCTGAGCCCCCAGGTTTCAGAGGCTTCTTTGGAGGTGACCACTGAAAAGTATAGACTCTACAAAATAGATGTGAGGGGGCTTTGGACAGTAAAGTTACCTTAATTATACTTTTCATATAGCAGATATGTGATATGCAATGTGATTTAATATATCAGAGTATTATCACTTTAATTGACACTGCATTTTTTTATGCATTATTCTTTATGCATTATTATTTTTCTTTTCTTTTTTTAATTTTAATGTCTGTTTAGAATATTGCAGGTTTTGCGATATCAAATTAATTTTGCATTATATATATTCACAATGCTCTTACACATTTTATTAAAATTAGCCTCTTTCAGAATTGTAGAATATGTGGTGGAACTGAATCCCCATATATGAGATTTAAAACTGTATTTTTATTTTTACTCTGTGCCCTAATCAGTATTTATATACATAATTGCGGCAGCATATAGCTTTTAAATAAGCAATTATTTCACCCTTCATGTGTGGTTGACTGTGGACTTTTTTAAACCTACTTTTTCTATTTTTTTAAATCTGTTTCTGGCTTTGAGAGAGCAGGCTGCTGAATGCATGTAAATGCTCTTAATGCTTAGTCTCTATACATTTATTTATTTAATCGTATTTTATAAAAACCTAGGTTATCAAATTCACTGAGATTACGTGTCTGATCTGATTACAGTCAGTAGTACAATATAATTGTTCTAATTTCCTTACTGCTAGTACGGTGTATTAGGCATATCAGGGAGTTTACCAAATTTGTTCTATTATGATATTAGTTAAGATCCACAATTTCAGCATTGTATGCTAATTACATTGTACCTGGCACCTGAACTCACAGTGCCTTGTTCACATTAAAATCATCTCTAATGATGAAGATCTCTCTCTGAGTCTGGGCTACAAGTAGCTCAATAGATTCTTGATATTTCAAGACTTGTGCCATGACAAAGTATTGTGTCTTCTCTTACGTATAAGAGGTTACCTAGGTCTTTATTTTATATTTAAAGCTTCCAAGTACAAAGTCCCTTCGTGGTCGCCAATTGTAACCGTGTGTGGTTCCCTTATTTACCACTATAATGTCTTAAAGCATAGAACTTAGTAGGGCTAACCATACAGATATCTTAGCCATAATTTTATATAGTGTAAGAGATCCTCTATTTAACATATATAAATAATTGAGAATACAATATAAAATAAGGATTGTCTTGGAAGCAAGAAGATTGTCTTTTGGATATTTATTATATAAAAATATAAAATCCATTATAGCAGAGTTTATAAGATTAAATTACATGCTTGCAAATATCATTAATAGGTTAACATACCCTTCTGAACATGTCATCATGTCAGCCTCTCTGTCATTTTAAGATGGAGCAGCGTCTGTCTCCAAGTCTCTCCTCTGTGTCTTAACATTTAAAAGTACACCTATTTATACCTTAGGTGTCTCCATTTTAGGTTACAGTAGTTCAAATATGAAAAAGTAACACTTCTTTTACTTTATTCAATTTAGGACCTCCCTTAACTTGGCAAACATACAAGGCCATAACTAAAGGGTGTATACGTCATGGAAATTTTCCTGACTTAGTTCAAGATGGCATCTTAAAGTCTGAATAGGTTATCTGTTGTTTATACTAAGTCGTAAGTGTACAGTCGTGGGAGATTCCCGGATTTGGGGAAGTTCCATTAACTTGGGGTTACCACAGTATATTGTGTACTGCAAGAGTCGTAGCATAGCCTTGAAGCTTGTTTATGCATTATTGTATTTCGTCTGGGACAAAATGGCGCAAACATATTATGCACTGAGGTTATTGCTTAAAGAAACAGTTATGAAAAACAATAAGTTCCATTTCTAACACCTTGTCAGTTTGCAATATCTCTTAAAGACAAAGTACACAGTTTAAGAAATACAACATTTTCATTCTAAAACTTGTAATATTTGCATTTGACTCCAAGAACTTTTACTACAGAGAACAATCAGAGCCAACACAGAACAGTGAATTTGATATTTTACAACCTGCTAAATACTAACAGGACATTCACAGAACCACTGACTGATACAATGGATGCTGTTAAAGATGACAAGATAAAACAAACAGAGGACGTCAGAAATGCCACCAAAACACAGCCACCAGAATCATAGCCACGTAACAGACTGAATCATGATCTGACATCTGAACCTGCAAATGTGAAGGAGAAGGATGAACAGACAGATGTGATACATTCACAGTTAACATGGAATGTATGAAAAATGAATCATCAACATCATTATAAGAGACTCTGGAGAAAACAGACTGAACCTGAATTATCTTACACAGTAAGAAAGAAATGCAAAGATGGAAGCAAAAGGATGCTAGAAAATTGGTTATGGTGTCTCCTTCTTACAGTCTGCAGAATAATCATAACATCAACCCTAGCTGTCGTTTTAAAACTGCATTGGGATTATGTTAACAAGCAGGAAGCACCTGGACTGAATTGGACTGCACACTATACGAGTTCTGTGATCGTGAGGACTACTTCCAAGAACCATCTCAAAAGGAGAGACACAGCTCACAGTGAAATGATTGCTAATGTGACCTACACTGGTATTTCACAAGGAACCTATTGAGATCATTCCAAAAAAAACGATTATACCTGAGAAAGATGTGATTGGACTATTACAAATCAGAAAAATGGAATCAACGATGATGGCAAAGCATGCTGAAAACAGAAAAAGACAGGAAAGATGCTTATGAAAGACTTTGGATGCACCTATGAAGGTGATGCAAGAAAAGACTTTGCCATATAGTTTATCATTGAGTGACTACCGCAAACAGCCTTCTTATGCTGAAAAGAAGTGCTATGTTAATTCTGGACATTGCAATTATGTATCCAGACAGAAGATGACCGGAAAAAGAAATAAAGGCTGATAACTGTCAACACCCAGCTGTTTTTCAAGATGGAACATGGTACTGACAAAACCTGATTGACTATCAAAGCACCTCACAGTACAAGACACAGATTGTTGCCTACAACTCAGAAAAAGTGGTTAATAGGAAGGAGCAGAAGAAGAGGAAAATAGATTTCCTACTGGAGTGAAAAACCATACTGGAACAATATTCTGTAACAATGAACTTTACAATGACATTTGGTGGCATATGAATTTGAATTTGGAAGAAACACATCAATTAACGAAAGAAACCTTGATGCAATTAATAAATAACAAGACCAGCTTACTAAGAGCAGATTCCCTGCCAAGAGAATGGAATATAAAAGGCCAGCAGAATCTTTCAGAGACCTGACATCACGGGACACTTGTACTAAAGCAAGATGTACATACCTGCAAAGCAAGGAACTCCTGTAAACATAGACACAGAGACATTGATACAACAAGGAATCTGTAATGGTTCTGTTGCAGATGTGATCTACCAATGTACTCCTTGCTCTTTTGGTATAACTATAGAATCAAACGACAAAGGATTCTTGCTATATTCTGGACTTCCAGGAATGTGGTGCATGGACCGAAAATTATAATTACTAAAGCAATCATGCTATTTTTTCCCTGTATCAGAAATGTGTCAGTGACAATGTGTAATATAATACAGATACTATAATTAATGGTATAAGAAAAACATAATGTGTTAATTACAAAGGTGGATAGACTTTGTGAATATCTGAAACGCAATTGAAGATTATTGCTAAAATGCCATATGCAGCAGCAGTCTGGCCTACAAACAAATATATTAGACATACGTGTAAGAGCATAACAGCTAATTACCCAGATAAATAATTGAATCATGATAGTTAAAGATCATATGATTGCAATAACAACTGCAATAATGAATAATGTTTAAACTTTAGAAGAAAATATAAAATGTTTTTATTAAATCAGAAACTATTCTATATTCGTTTAAGTTTGCAGAGTGGTATAATTAATTCATTAATATAAGTGAAATACTTCAACAGTTAAAATTTAACTGAAAGACAGGCAGAAACTTTACTTCAACTATCATAAAGTTTATTTATAATGATAAAAATATTCAGTCTGCCAGAGCTAAGGCCAGTCAATGGAAAGTAAAGGAGTATTAGGGATTAACCCATCCAGGTGATATACATGATGATTTTGGAAATTGATCATTTAGGTCATCTATTGCAAACAGGTGAAAAGATGTCAAAGATATAAATTCAACATCCATACCACTCTATGTATATATATATTAAAATACATGTAATCAAATATTTTATCAGTTTTTCAAATACAAAGAAAATGTAATTTGGTTTGTGATGGTTAAAGGTACATAAAACCACTTATACAAAGGTAGAGCTAAAATATAAATACATTCAATATTGTATCGGATTGCTTTCTTAACTCACTTTTAGAAATAATAATACATTCTAATCATCTTAAGCTACACCCAACAGCCACTGAAAAATATACTTAAACAATTAAGATTCACATTGTTGAGCATCCAATCTCACGAATGTAACTTTCCACAATGGCTGTCAGATCTTGGTTAAAAAAAAAAGTTTTCTAAGACACATTTTTGGGGTTTCTGTTATTTTAAGCCACTAATAACTGTAGTTATTATATTTACTAATAATAACCAGGGAATAAGTTGTCTTCTCCCTAACAGGTCAAAGAAAGATAATTAACGTCATATTTCCAATTAGCAACTATTCTAAATAGATTGAGAGATTTTGAATAAAAGAGTATTTTTAACAGTTAAAGAGAATATAATTGTACATACCATTGTGAACAAAGGTGGTAAATGCTGCTTCAAATTATCCTTATATTTCTAAAATCATATACAAGGGTGTTTGTCTTTAAAACAAAACACTAGAAAGATTAACTATGTTACTATTTCATCTATCATTATTATACAAACTATAACAAATGTAAAGATTTTTCCACAGATTTTACCTGTTAACATTTTTAGCACAACAGCACCTGATGTCAGTGAGATGTCTATCACTGAGATGTTACAAAGATTCCAATACAGCAAAAAGAGGCGTTCTTGAGAATCCACTTCGATTGCTGTATCAACATAACATTTACTATAATGGGATCCATGTCACTTAAGACAATGTCTTGGAAATGCTGTCAATTCATTTATTCCGTAAAAGAATATCGGAGAGTATCCAATCTATACACATCATAAACGGTGTAAAAATGTTTCATGGAAAAAACAAAATAAAAAAAGACAAAGACAAATACCAACACCATCACCACGGTGATAACAGATGATGCTGATCAATATCCGCAACCAATTCTAGCCAAATATTTGGAAAGCTGGACTCTACAACCTATACTCTACAACAAATACCCGGGTATTCTACAAACACAACCTCCAGCAATGTATCTAAGGAATGTAAACTTCTACAGGCCTTTAAAGACTTTGGATTACAAATACAATTACTACTTTTAACTTTGGATTACAATTCGTATCCGGATCTATCCAAGAATATCTTACTCTGGAACCTGGTGTTCTTTTCAATTCTTTCCCAGACAAAAGCTTTGCTCATTTTAATCAACCACCTTTACAGGCAAAGATCACACTACGGATATTTTACTGTTACAACAATTATCTAAGATGCTGGGAGCATAAAAAACCTAAAGACAGTTGGAGAACTTTGGTTTACTAATTTAAGGAAGAAATGCGCTACAATGCCCACAGTTTAATGGAGAGGGTGTTATGGGCAAATGCAAATATTACAAGTTTTAGAATGAAATGTTGTATTTCTTAAACTGTGTACTTTGTCTTTAAGAGATATTGCAAACTGACAAGGTGTTAGAAATGGAACTTATTGTTTTTCATAACTGTTTCTTTAAGCAATAACCTCAGTGCATAATATGTTTGCGCCATTTTGTCCCAGACGAAATACAATAATGCATAAACAAGCTTCAAGGCTATGCTACGACTCTTGCAGTACACAATATACTGTGGTAACCCCAAGTTAATGGAACTTCCCCAAATCCGGGAATCTCCCGCGACTGTACACTTACGACTTAGTATAAACAACAGATAACCTATTCAGACTTTAAGATGACATCTTGAACTAAGTCAGGAAAATTTCCATGACGTATACACCCTTTAGTTATGGCCTTGTATGTTTGCCAAGTTAAGGGAGGTCCTAAATTGAATAAAGTAAAGAAGTGTTACTTTTTCATATTTGAACTACTGTAACCTAAAATGGAGACACCTAAGGTATAAATAGGTGTACTTTTAAATGTTAAGACACAGAGGAGAGACTTGGAGACAGACGCTGCTCCATCTTAAAATGACAGAGAGGCTGACATGATGACATGTTCAGAAGGGTATGTTAACCTATTAATGATATTTGCAAGCATGTAATTTAATCCTATAAACTCTGCTATAATGGATTTTATATTTTTATATAATAAATATCCAAAAGACAATCTTGCTTCCAAGACAATCCTTATTTTATATTGTATTCTCAATTATTTATATATGTTAAATAGAGGATCTCTTACACTATATAAAATTATGGCTAAGATATCTGTATGGTTAGCCCTACTACGTTCTATGCTTTAAGACATTATAGTGGTAAATAAGGGAACCACACACGGTTACAATAGTCTGACCTTTTTCTCCACTACTTGTCTATGCATAGGTTGTCCCATCATGACACTGATGACTGATGGAGAATCTCTCCATACTACGGGGGCACTAGCTGAGTGCAACTGCCAAAAGTTACGCCTCAGGAGTATGTTATAAACTGACTGTTTGCAGTTTAATGATTTTCCTTGATAAAGTTTACTATAAGTCTGATGCTACTAGAATGTGTCAAGAGTATGTTGTTGGAACCTCTGTATAACCAATCTCTGTCTTTTCTTACTACTGTAAATCTGACTAAAATAATTTAATAAAGATTGTAAAAAACAAAACAAAAGGTGTTGTTCTGAGTACCATCATGACTGAACCATATTTCTACCCCAATCATCAATATGCTGGAGGTGTGGGCAAAAATAGTTATGTTGCTCAAGCTTTTGTATTGTCGGCCACCATCTGGTTTTTGACAATCAGTCCAGTTTCTGTTCACAAAAGTTCTCATAGTACCCAATATAGCAGAGATAACTACACTTCTGACAATGTCACAAACTTACATGACAAGCTATCAGAATATCATATTTTTAATGTAGCACCTAAGTACATAGGAAATGGTGTGCATTTTTTATTTCACAGATCTCAGAGGTAATAAAACTCATGTTTTTTTTTAAAGGACAACTGTCTTCAAATTTTCTCTTTTTATTTTTTGAAATGTTTAAAATATTTAGTGAAAGTTAATTATATTTTTTTAATGATATATATATATATTTTGAAAATATTTCGCTTTTTTTATCTGAGCAGTGTTGGGTCTACTGATATCTGACCAACTGCTGCTCAACCTAACTTGACTGCTACTGCAGTATCACCCATTAAAATAGCAGGAGCAGACATGTTAAGTTGAACAGCAGCTGGTCAGATAAGAGTAGAGTGTGACCCAATATAGATGCTCAGCTGGATAAAAAAAGGCACATTTTCTAAAAAACAAAACAAAAAAACAATATACATTCATTAAAGGAACACTATAGGGTCAGAAACACACACATATTTCTGACCCAATAGTGTTAAAAACACTAACCCCCCTGCCCCCCTTGCCCTCCTAAATATAACAAAATCCTACCTTTATTCCAGTCTGCTAGTCCTGGCTCTGCCCCTGATCTGCCTCCTTGGCTGACATCATCAGAAGTGATGATCTCAGCCAATCACAATGCTTTGCCATATTAAAGCATTAGATAGCCTGAGATTGTCAATTCTGGGAGTGGAGGCAAATACCGCCATTGCCAGTCAGCATCTCCTCCTTGAGATGCAGTGAATCAATGAATCTCTATGAGGAAAGTTCAGTGTCTCCAAGCAGAGGGTGGAGACACTGAGAGTTAGTGCAGCACTGCCCCTTGGTTGTAATGTAAACACTGACTTTTCTCTGAAAAGATACTGTTTACTACAGAAAAGCCTGTAGGGACATGCTATACTCACCAGAGCATCTATAATAAGCTGTTATTCTGGTGACTATAGTGTCCGTTTAACTTTCATGAAATATAAAACACTTTAAAATTTTTTGAAGTGAAACATTGATTACAGGTATGCTTTAAATCATGGGTCCTCAAACTCCGGCCCCCCAGATGTTGCTGAACTACAACTCCCATGATTCTCTGGCTATCTATGTAATTCAAAGAATCATGGGAGTTGTAGTTCAGCAACATCTGGGGGGGGGGGGCGGAGTTTGAGGACCCATGCTTTAAATGATACTCATTAAAATATGTCTCATTATAATTCAGACCAACATCACATATATCTTATTGTTAGGGAGACTTGGAAATATTACTTAGAAACAAATGTACTAATATAGTTTATAAACGATTGAGTGGAATTTGGAAAAACAGTGGTTTACTAAAGTCGTGCAACTCGTTAAAGCCTTACTAGTATTGTTTATCTTAGGATCACATATATCCTTTTTTTGTTCTGTTGCTTAGATTGCATAGACAGCATATCTTTGTTGTATAACAAATCTAATAGAACTTGGACTATATGAAATTATACTGTCCACCCAACGTCAACATAACCATATCCTCACCCAGTTTTATATTTGTATTTTGTTTGTTTTGGATCCCCATATTATCGCTATAAGTCAAAATGTGAAAAAAGGAATTGTTCAGCTAAAGATTCAGTTGAGGATTGAAGTATGGAACATTTCTTTTCAGCATTTTGTACCCAAACTGAGGGAGCTTGGACAATTTTGCCAAGAAGTAAGGTCAAGAGTTGCAAGATTCAGATGTAAAAGGCTGGTTGAGATTCACCCCAAAAGAAGTACAGCTGTAATTGCAGTCAAATGAGGATCTAATAAGTATTGACTCAGAGGGTGAATATGCAACCAAAAATGTCTTCTTTTTGTTTATCTTTTGTGGTTGCAATAAAATAAACATCTGCTTCACGGTGTTAAAATGCAGGAAACGGGTAAGAATCCTAATAAAATCATAATTTCAATTATACATTACAATGATACTAAGTAGAAATATCCACATGTAAAGAATATTTCATTACTTGCATTGCACTTATAATACACAGTAACACATATAACCCATATATAACTCAAATACTCAAATAACACATATACAACTGCAACTAAACATCTACAGCACAGCATTATGGTATGTCAAATTGAGAAAAATAGATATGCTAGGAATGATATATATATATACATCGATCGGCAACAGCATTAAAACCACCTGCCTACTATCGTTTAGCTGCCTCTCATGCTGCTAAAACGGTTCTGATACATTGAGGCATGGACTATACATGACCTCTGAGCATGTCCTGTGGCATCTGGCACCAAGACATTAGGTCCACAGATGCCGGTTGAGATATGGAGAATTTGGTGGGCAGGGCAACTCTTTTTCATGTTCCTTAAACCATTCCTGAACAATTTTTGCAGAGTTACAGGTTGCATTATCATGCTGAAAGAGGCCACTTTTATCAGGAAACACCACTTCCATGAAGGAGTGTATGTGGTGTGCAACAATCTCTAGGTAGGTGGTACATGTCAAAGTAGCATCCACATAAATGCCAGTACCCACATTTTTCCCAGCAGAATATAACACTGCCTCTGCTGTCCTGCCTTCTTCCCATAGTGCATCCTGCTTCAACTCTTCCCCAGGTAAACAGTGCACATGTACCCAGCCATCCACCTTCTCTAAAAGAAAACATGATTCATCAGACCAGGCAGCCTTCCATTGCTCCATTGTCCATTGTCCAGTTCTGATGCTCATAACCCCACTGAAGGCCCTTTCAGTGGTGGATAGAGGTCATCATGGGCACTCAAATGTTTTTCTTCCTCATTTTTCCTGCTTTCAACACATGATATTCAAGAACTGACTGTTCACTTGCTGCCAAATATGTCCCACCCCTTGTCAGTTGTGATTGTAACAATTTAATTAGTCATTCACTGCACCAGTCAGTGGTTTTAATGTTGTGGCTGATCAGTGTATAGTATATTTGTTAAATAAATTAAATAAGATGTACAGGCGAGAGTTGGCACAACCAATGATATATGACGATGGATGAAATTTGGCAAATCATTTTTTTCTATATGGGAACAGAAGGCAACATTGGCATACCTGTATTATGATTACAGGCATTTTAAGTGATTATAGAATCTTTGGTATAAAGACATTTCTAGATGGATATATAAAACTGAATATTACGTGATGAATAATCCATTTATTTGTGATGTGGAGGAGTAAAAACAATAGGTTCCCAGGTTAGATAACAGTTATCTTTCCATTTTCTTCTGTCTGAATGATGAAAGACAGGCAGTCAAAGGATGAAGTGTTAACTATAACTTTCCAGAGCGCAAAGCAAAGGATAGCTGTTTATAATTAACCTTAAAATATATTTCTCAATAACTAAAAGAAAACTCTGTACATTTTATGATATGAGACTTATTAACTAAAGCAGAGAATTGTAGTGAACTGAAAATTAAATTGCAAACTTTGGACCAATATTGCTGATTTAGAAAAAAACACAATTTAACTGTAATCAAAGCTTGGCTGTTCTACACTGAATTTTTTAAATTTTCAATCAGCTAACGTCCATTGTTTATTGAATAAACCCATAGAAGGATTAAGAGTCCACAGGGCCCTAGGCAGGATCCTGGTTTGGCGCCCCCCTTCATTATTCACATAGGGATGGTGAATGGGACCAAGGAAATTCTTTTTTGCTAGGACCCCTGTCTAACTTTTGTGCCCAAGGAGACTACCTGAGGTCACCTTCAGGTTGATATAGCAATGAATATTTATATAGTGGGCAAGTGTATTCACTTTTAAATGAATTGTGATATGTCCAGATTTTGGATGATCGACGATTCATCTGAATTATGCAGCTCCAAAATGCCATATGGACATATCACAAAACAAATTAAATGGGCAGTGAGCACGTTGTTTTGTTTCTTTTGTGATTTAAATGTTAGCCACCATATTAAAATGTAAAAAAAAAGCCCAAGAGGGTCAATATGACTTACATATTAGTATAGAGTAAAGGCATATGTTCTAAACAGTGAGCAGTCAACGGCTGCTCACTGTAATGAAATCTAGTAACTTGGCAGCTATAGCTTCACATGCTTCCTAGTCCCTAGCAATATACCGGGGGGACCTGTCATTTATCCCCTTGCCCCCATGTGTGCTCATGGGTGTGGGGCAGAAATTGAACAATGTGGGTGGACAGGTCACTGCCCACCCTACCATCCCACTTATGGCCAGTGGGTGGGAGCTCTATTAACATCCCACAGTTGC